GTCCATCACCTCCTCTCCTCAGCTCTGTCTGATGCCCTGTGTTATCGGTGTGGAAGTGTGGCTTTCATCAGTTGGAGTCATGTGACTTCTTATCTAAAGCCATAAATAACAAATGATAGTATATTTACAGCAGCGCTTCATGGTGACCAATTCACTTCATGTTTGGTCCAGTAAAATCTTATTTCAGTATATGTGCAGGCTTATAAGGGTGTTTAGTCTGTATTCATGTGTCATCAATTTGTTTCTCATCTTTACTAAGGTTCCAATTTACTAACGTTCCAAACTGTTATTGAGTGAAAATAGAATAATTATTTATGTTTCAAAACAAATGAATACACTTTACTGAGTCACTTTGTCCCATACTGCAAACATGTATTTATATTACTAGAACATACAGCATTTTATACTGTTCCTTATTATGCTAAAGTAAGGGTTTTTTTAGCATGAGGAAGAATTATATTTTAATAGTCACGTCAAATCAGTAACATCAGCAGCTTTTTACCATCTAAAAAACATTGCCAGGATCAAAAACATAGTGTCTAAAGCAGACTTGGAGATTCTTATCCATGCATTTGTCTCCAGTAGGTTAGACCACTGCAATGGCCTGCTCACAGGTTTGTCCAAACAGGCTGTAAAACAGCTGCAGTATATTCAAAATGCAGCAGCTCGAGTCCTGACAAGAACCAGGAAGTACGACCACATTAGTCCAGTTCTCAGGTCTCTGCACTGGCTTCCTGGGGCTCAGAGAATAGACTTTAAAACAGCTCTGCTTGTGTACAAATCTCTCCATGGCCTCGCATCAAAATATATTGGTGACATGTTAGTCCCATATGAACCAGCCCGGACTCTGAGGAGCACAGGGACTGGACTCCTGTTAGTGCCCAGAGTCAGAACTAAACATGGGGAGGCTGCTTTTCAGATTCATGCTGCTAAAATCTGGAACAATCTTCCTGAAGATGTGAGACAGGCCTCCTCTCTGACAATGTTTAAAACCAAGTTAAAAACAGTTCTGTTTAGCTGTGCATACAACTGAGGGATTTTATATTTTTATCTTTCTTTTTAATATACTGTGCTTATTTATGATTATTTTGTTCAGCACTCTGAGTTGCCTTGAGTATGAATTGTGCTATACAAATAAACTTGCCTTGCCTTGAAGAAGCAAAGTTGGAGATTTTAGACTTCTTTCTTTATTATGCAAATATAGAGATTTTATACTGTTTCGTTTTTATGCTAGAGTTAGAGATGGTATTTCATTATTAATGTATCTTGTGTTGTGTGCTTCTCGTTTCTACTGTTCTGTAACTTGTGATGCAACACCGAAATTTCCCCACTGTGGGACGAATAAAGGATCATCAAAATCTTAATGTCCCAGCGCCTTAAAGTAATTTCATGATTTTACTCCTAATGGCATCTCTACTTTGTGGCTTGAATGACAATGTATTTGATACTATCATATATCGATACTGCTGTCCTAACACATTATTTTACTTGCTGCAATGGCGCCATCTACTGGACATTTCATTCCCTTGCTATTTTTTATTGAACGTATCTCTCATAATTTCATAGATGTTTATTGTTCATGTTTAAATGCTTTGGTTGGAGCCAGGACGTCTGAGATTCCATGGGCCACAGTGTACTGTATTTGCAGAGGAGGCCACAAAGTGAGGAAGTGGTAAAGGGACTTAAACAAATATATGACGGATAACCTCTGACTTTGTTTTGATATAGATACATTTAACTAAAGTGGAGCTAAGAGTGAACCTTGTGCCTTGTCTCCCATTTGGGATGCCACAGTTTCGATAATGAAATCCAGTTTATTTTCACCTTCGGACATACAGCAGCAACTTCTTCAGTAACGTATCAGTTTGAGAAGACACCGGGAAACACTATTTTAGTATTTGAGAAACAGCAAGAGAGCTGGCCGAAGATGGTTTTAACTCCTTATTGTGTTTTAGTCTTAGCAACTGAAAAAAAGGATTAATGCATAGTTTAATCTGTTTATTTAAAGGGCCATGTCATCATAATACATACTTCATATATAGTCTATTGTAATGTGCAATGGATGACCTCTTATAAATGATTATTTTTTACTTACTCATTATACATTACTAGGCTTACTTTTACCTACTTACTTTTCACACAACATAAACCGTCAGTAATCTAAAATAAAATCCTTTTTTTTTTTTTTTGCATTAACACAAACTTACTTCACACCTAAATATATTTATTTTCTTCAGTATTGGTCTTGTCCTATGCTTCACATTTATTTTCTCCATACACTGTGATCGTAAACTACTGCAGAAGCCAGAGCTGTGGTGTGTCTTGCCAATGGGCACAGCAACAGTCCAGCACTAAACAACCACATCTGCGTTGACATACACACAATGCTGGAGCCGTTGTGAAGCCCATGCACAGTAATTTTGTCTTTTGATGACTCATTTACTCCAATATGAACTTGCACATAGAAAGATCAAACACCAATACATTGTGACTAATCGATTGTTGGATCAATTCCCTTTTTACCTATAAGGCAAATTTTAGGAACCTGTAATAAAGCAAAAAAGGTACAGGCAGACCTTACAGCTATTTTTTTGACATATTCGGGCTGCATAGTGGCTGAGTGGTTAGAGCTCTCGCTTCTCAGCAAGAATATTTAGGGTTTGGAATCTGATTATGGGTCTTACAGAGTGGAGTTAGCATGTTTTCCCCACATCTGCATTTGTGTCCTCAGGGTGCTCCTGCGTTTCTCCCACTAAACCCATTTACAATAGGCATAATCCTACAGCTCTTGTGGTCCTGACCAAGATGAACATCAATATCTGGAAAGGGGGATCTAAAAATGCAGGACAAATGTGAGTGATTAGGTGCTTTTCAAGGATCTGTGAGAAAATAGGAGAACACCGACTCTATAGGATGTAGTTGCCAGGTCCCAATAGGAATAAAGGATTTTTATTTCAAAAGTAGAGTGAATCTTGGATCTTCTCCTCTTTGTTCTCCATCAATATCTGGAGATGGTTCCCCGGGCGCAGTACTATGGCGGCAGAGGACCAAGAGACAATGAAGGATGGGTCAAATGCAAAGGGCAAATTTCCCTACAGGGACAGTCAAAGTATAACTCATCATTATCATATCTTTTCCCATTCCTCTTCTATTCTATTTTTTTTGGTTTGTCTGGAAGGAAGAGGGATACATCTTTGTTTTGTCATTTCATTTTCTCTGGATTGTGATGGTTGTATTGTAACAATTGGCTGGTGCTGGTGGATCTTTGTGGAGATATAAAACCTGCTCTGCATGTAGACACATGATCTGAGTCACATCTGAGTTAGAAGTGTCTGTAAACACTGGGCACTAATAACTTACGACTCAGATCACGTTATAACTTGATTGCCTGCCTTATATGACATGTCACAGTGTATTTACTTTTAAATGTAATATTATGATTTTTTTATGCATTCTTTTTCATAATTATAACTATGTATTTCTAGTTTGATACTGTCATTATTGCACTATAATGTTAAAGTAAATTCCTAGTTTTGAAATCTTCCTGTTCACTCACAGTGAAAATAGGTTGCGTATGTTGTAAAATTCTATTTCAGTTGGAAGTTTGTTCATTTACAAAGAAGTGTTGAAAAAGAAAATGCCCAAATGTTTTCCCAGATCATTATTTAGTGATTTGATTCACAAAGTATCAAATCACTAAACTACTAAATTCACATTACTATAATTAACTTTAAAATCATTTTGTGTATCTCAGTGCGTGGAGTTACTCTTTGGAATTAATCAAGACATAATTTTAAAAACATAATAGCATTTGAGAAACTGTAAAAAAATAAAAATAAACAATAAAAATATGGGCAAAGAACAGCAAGTTTATTTATATAGCACAGTTCATAGTTCAAAATGCTTAACAAAACAAGAACTATGATGAGGAAAGAGTGATGGGGATTACATGTAAGGTCCGAGAATGGGCATTTTGAACCTGTGTATTGTCTCGCTTCATCCATCCCCTTTTCAAAACTCTATACACTTGTGATTTGAAAACACAGATTATAAAAATGGTTGATGTTATCCATTACTAGCAATATCATGCATCTATTTTTTTTTTTTTAAATATAGCAGGTCACCACTCCCTTTCTTATTTATGAAAGAATAATTACACCATAGATAGATTACAGATTAAACATTTTCCAGCTGCCTTACATCTCAATTTCAAAATAAAAAAGGATGCACTCAAACGCAATTTATACACTATTGCGATGAAATAGTATTAATCACAACTATCTTTTAAATTTACCGATTTTGTGAAGATTAAGATAAAATATTGAGAAATTTCAGTGTTGCATCACCAGTTACAGAAGAGTTGGAATGAGGACAACAATGAATCCATACTAACATTATCAAAAATAACAACTTTGGCATAATAAAGAAGCGTACATAAAATCTCTAGCTTTTGCGTAAAAAGGGAGCAAGTCTAAGATACTGAATACTGTTTATTTATTCACTTTTTTACTGTTTAATGCCCATTTTCCTTCAAGCGTCTGCTCCTTTTCTCCCTCTGCCGTCACCCGGGTTAAATCCCCATGCGTTTGCGTATAGTGCGTGGTGTCGTCATTACCAGGCAGCAGCTCTGGGCTCTGGTGGGAGTGGCCCAACATTCCTCTGCACTTGTATGACCACTCCCCGCCCTCTTTCTTTCTCCTGCCGTTAAGGCAGATTATCCCCCTCAAACTGGCACACTCCTGCTCTGCATCCCATCAGGCAACATCACATAAGGTAGAAAACCCAGTCCTTTTCACACGCTTGTTTGTATCCATATTTCAATGCTTATAGGCGAGCTTCTGTGTGTTGTGACATTATAACAAATAACAGTCTAGCTGGAAATTCAGCTTTGTTTCCAAGCTTTTAGAAAAGCTCTGTCTGAAATAAATGTGATGTTTGTGCAGAATTGCCTGGGAAATTTCAAAATGTCCACCCCGCTGTCATTGTTGATAACATTGTCCATGGTCCTGCTCTGTTTTGGAGAAGAAGCAGTAGAAGAGGTCATCAAACCCCGTAAGTAAATTATAACAATGATAAATATTTTGGCAGCTCTTTGTCTTTTCTTGTTTAAAACATGTATGAAACAATGAATTATTGAAAACAAATTGAGCTGTGTGGGACTTTATGTTCTTTTGATTTACAACAGCAAGACAGAAAGAAAAATGAGGCTAGTATGAAATAAATCTTGATTTGATTTGTCTGTAAAAAACACAATATACTATTAAATAATCACTAGCAGTCTTCCATTCATTTAGGTAAAACAAATATTGTAATTATTCAACAAATCACTGTATAAGTTTACTTGAGGCATAATACTTGAATGTGGAAACCTTTTTCAAGCATGTACTGTATATGGAAGCCTATGATCCCAGTATGTGCGTAGCTAAACGTGCAGGTAAACATTTTTCTTTTTTTTTTCATATTATTTTTTTCACATTTAGTTGTAATGCATGTACGTTTTTGGCCTCAATCACATGTTATGATATCAGATTTTTCAGACTGAAAATTGAAAAAAAAATAAGACCTTTTTCAAACAACTAACCAGCCGTCAGCCCAAAGTGTCAAATAGTGACTCACAGGGCTCTTTCAATAAAACTATATGTATAATAATATTTTTGCCTTTTGCCTTTTGTTTTTTTATTTTATTTAATTTCAGACACTCAGTCACTAGACATCCCCCACACAACACAACTTAACACAATGACAAAAACCCATTTACCAGGCAACACCAAAACAATACACAAGCCCGCAGACTGATGCATATTATCGCCTTTTAAGATAAGATACGATAAACTTTATTGATCTCATTATATGGAGACATTTACAAGACTCCAACTGTACAATAAGTACTATTCATAAAACATGAAAGTTAGCAACCCCAGCTTTAACGTGCTAAGCTAGTTCAATAGAGTTTTGAACAGCAGTGAATATTAAATCACAACAACACCATCAACTTCTGACTACTTTCACTGTCACGTAATCCCTAATCCCCCACATGTGTTGTTTCGAGGACACCATATGGCAACACTGGGACATAGAATTTGTCATATCAGCGTCAAAAGCTCATAACAACGTCAATGAATAACAAATCCACACGGGAATATGTCTTTTGCAGGGCACGTAGCAGTTGGTAAAAACTCTATAGTGCCTACATTGTGTACCGAAGCAAACACAATGACTTCATGCTGGGTGAAGTGACTCATGTGTGTGACGGGGCCGGCTGGGTGCACGGGCAGCTGTCAGCGTCCAGATGACAGAACAGAGACTGAGGCTGGACCGTGGTTTGGAAAAAGGGGCTTACAATGATGATGATTAATCGCTGTTTTTACAAAGTCAGTTCGGTTTTGGTTTTAAAGGAGACGTGTTATGTTGAAAGTAATTGTAACAGAGTTGGGGGTTTTGTGCTACAGACCAGTCATGACCAGTTGAAGTAATGTTATGTAACTCTATCCTCTGCATTTGACCCATCCTGCAATGCCGTTAAGCCTAGCGTACATCGACAGAGAAACTGGGGACAACTAGTTGCAAGGCGGCTTTTGGCAACTGAGAGGAGATGGTGGGAGATGATCAGTCGGTCTCCAGTTTCAGTCAGTTGCCCGTGTTCTACTTTTCGGGAACTAGTTGTCCTCAGTTTCGGAGATATGACCCGATGTGCGCGCTCCATGCGCCGCTCCGACAGCGTGTGTGTATTGTGTGTATTGCGTGTATTGCGAGCCCGCAACAGTTTATGTCAGAAAACACACTGTAGTTGAGGCCAGTTGCTGTCGATGTACGCGCTGTTATTCCCGAGACTGGTCTGCTACTGGGAGTTGCCCGTTTTCGTCAGATTGTCGATGTGTGCGGGCAAGCAACTCATATGCGACGGATATAATCAGTTGCCAGTCCGATGTACGCTAGGCTTTAGAGCCTCTGTCAAAAGCCATAGAAGTACAGCGCCTGGATACGTAGTTCCAAATGTTGATGCTTGGTTTGGTCAGGACGTAGTATGAGGAGGATAGAGTGACAGGAAATAGGTGTAGGGTCAAAGAGGGTGCATTTTGGATCTGTGTATTGTCTTGCTTCATCCAACCCCTATTCAAAACTCTGTTATTTTGTACTGTATGGATCTTAATTGATGGATGTCCATTAATGGCCAACATCATGCATCTGATCTTTTTTCACCACTTTCTTCTCCTGCCATGAAAAAATATTACACCATAGATGATATTTAATATTAAAGTATTGATAAATTATGCAATATTTTGATCAATATTTATTGTTTGAACTTGGACAAAATAATGTTACATTTTTTTTGTCAACAGTGATTTCAACAGCATCACTGCAAAACCTCTGTTGTTTTGCACACTATCCCATCAGTAGTCTTTGTAATGAATAATGCATACAAATATAAAACTAATGCATTACTTGGTAGAAATATTTAGCCTTCAGTGATGTATGTTACTTTATAAATATGGGATAATTTAGAATGTGTGTAAATGTACAGTATATAGTCGTTGTGTAAATACATGTTGTTGTAAAGTTTATTTTCAGAGTTAAAACATTAATTTGAAATGTCGGCACATCTTTGCAATGGAGTTATAATCAAAAATAAGTGACAACCACAGCCAATGTTGTTGACTAATGACCTGAAAGAAATTGTTAAACATAGGTGGTAGTGTCATGCTGTGGACTGGTTATTTGTAGACAGTAATGATGATGTGACAGCTTCATGTAATATGACGTGTTTCAGGAACTATTATCTGCTCATACTTCATTCAATGAACTGTGCCTCAGGATAGATGGAAAAGGATGGATACGGCTAAAGGGATTCAAGCGTTACAAAATATCGGGTGTATTGACTTATTAGTATGAGAACTTTCAATGTATTTGTATTTTCATTATTCTTATGGTTTGCTTTGTTTTTTTTGTTTTTTGTTTAATTTTTCTTCTTTTCTTCCATATTTCTGTGGGAATGTAGGGATGATATTTAAAAACGCATTACAAAATCTTGTCAATTTTTTTTTTATTTCAGCAAGAGGACAGGTGCTGTTACAACTCTATCTTTTTCCATCTCATTCCCATGATTAGATTCACAAACGCTCTTTCTTGCCAAAATAATGTTTTTGAATGTTTTTACCACTTACTTTTAGGATTTGTGCAGACAAAGAATATGAAGAACTTTATGGCCCAGGACTTACCTCTACACTACGACTAAATTCTGATTTTTGTAACAGTTTCCATAGATACCAAGAGAGACTTTTAAGCTGCCCTCCATCACAATGGTTATTGGCTCGTTGGAGTGCTGTGATACCACACAAATGCAACCGATTGTGTTAATAATACGTTTGGACCAAGCTGAATTCTAAGCTCTCTCATTAGTCGGTTCCGCGACAAGTGGACGTCATGCGGTTTCACAATTGTATTAGTTTATCTCCTTGGAAACAAACGTAAACATTTTTGCTGAAATGTGTTTGTTTCCTGTGGTGACTGGTTCAGTGTTGGCTGCAGCACAGAGCAGGCAGGGTGTGACTGTCAGCTCAGTCAGTAGTTCAGGGTTTAGTGCAATAGATCTTTCCAGGTCCCCATACATACATATTGGAGCAAATCTGTCACAGCATGTATTGTAGGGACTGTCATTCTATTCATGGTTTAGAAATCCACTCCTGCATCAACAACATATGGTCCAATATGATTATACTGTTTAATGAGATACTGTTTAATGAATTATTCTATCTTGCCACATTGTGATTTTGACTTGTCTGCTATATAAAAACATGTGTATTTATTATACATTTACATATTTTATCTGTAAACAAAAGCATGAAAGATTTTTTTGTGGGTGAATCCTTGACTCAGTAAAACCACGACATACAGAGTTTATAATGCATGTTAGCCTTTTTCATAATCTATAAAAAAAACGTTGTCACTTTGTGGGTAATGGACCTATAGCAAAAAAATCAGATTGGACTCTTCACAGCCTCTTCTATCATTGCAGAGTGGTAAGCCTCATTCCTGCTGATCTCCCCAGTGACGTCAACCCATTCACTGCAGCACACAATTTAAATGCATTTCTTCTCAAGTTTTTACGTAAACACAACCCTTCACTCTATTTGTCTACTGAGCTGCAATCTTTTCTGGGGTCATTGACTTCATGTGATAAAGAAACCTACTACTACATAAGGAGATTTAATCTCATATCTTTTAATTAATCTCCCTCCTGTTGTTGCCTTTTCTGTCAGACAAGCACCAAATAAATAATCTCTTGTTAAATCAACTCATGAATTTGTATCAACGTAGTTTAAAGAAAGATACATTTTTGATAGAAAGATAACTTTTGGTTTGGTCGACAGCAGGGGCATGTTTTCACCAGGGTTTGCCAGTCTCCATCTCAAGTGGAACCTTGTGTCGTGTTGGTAAACTGTTAATTCAAAAACATGTGTTTGTGTTGTGACAGAGGAAACCCAGCTGCTCGGAGGATGGTTCAAGATAAGTCCAGACTCTTCAGAGGTGCAGGAGGCCGCACTGTACGCTGTCAAAATGTACAACTCTCATTCCAAAGGAAAAAGGCTTTTCAGACTGGAGTCTATCAGAACTGCTCACAGCCAGGTACACTACTCAATTTATCAAATAAATGAGGAATAAAAAAATGTACAACCACGTTTTTCCCAGTTATTCAATTCATAATTAACAAAGGGGTACCTAACTTACTGTATATTTTGACATACATAACACATTTTGTTTGTTCTTGTGAAAGTAAAATGTTGTGAATAAATCCTTCTTCAACATGCTGTATTCAGCTTGTTAGAGAACATCTAAAGAACCCCGAGAGTCACCATTCAACGCTTTAGGCTGAGAGCTGATTTAGCTGAGTGAAGGTGGCCCTCTCTTTTTACCTTTACAGTTGAAAGATTTGATAATTGCATGCATGTCAATTAAATTAAATTTGTGATTAAAAAAAAAGTCGATTGAAAGTAAGGAGTTAGGAACCCCAGCTTTAATCTCCACAGTCAGCGTTGTAATTGTTGACCATGGAAAAATAAATGCTCTTTGTGTTTGTTTCATGTTTGTACAGTTGTGTTTGAATGAGCTGCTGAAATGTTTGTAAAAGGCACCACAAACCGCCACAAACATACTCACATCTTTGCTCTGTGTTGCAGGTGACTAACATGATAAACTTCAAGATTGACGCAGTCTTGGGAAAAACAAAATGTCTCAAAGTGGAAAACCACGACTTGGAGAACTGCGAGCTGGAGAAAAAGGTATGATGTTCAAATCACCATCTTCCGCATTCAGGCTAACAATACTCCTACAGTATATATATATACATATATTGCGTCCACTAAGATTTCTTTGTTTGTGAATTGTGATTTCACTGTGGTTGCTGCGCAGCCATAACATGCTGCAAAACATTGTCCATAGAGATGCAGGTTTTATGCCAATGTTGCTCCAACATTTCCATGGAAACAGGCTGAAGGAGGCTGGCTTGAGTTTAGGTAAAGGCTTGCTCACAGTAAGATCACATTTTCTCTCCAGTGCAATTAGTACAAATATATCACGTTTTGCTTTTATCTATTTTCTGGCCGAAACCCTACATATTTGGTCTCTGAACATTGATATTGACACAAGCAGGAAACTGACATTTTGCTAGAAAGCTTGCACATGGCCCACAGACAAATGCAAATAGGATGGAAATGTTATTAATATTATTGTTTTGGTATAATTGACTGATTATACATATACACTTTTAAATCATGCATAGATAACATATTTGAACCAAAGTGAAAGAGCTTAGTAAGGCATTTTCATAGCATTATTCATTCACTCCATACACAGTAGTGATTAGGTACAATTGCAAACACACCTGCTCTGGCGTAGACTGACAGAAGTGAGGCAACCAGTATGTGCTATTGGCCCCTCCAACCACTACCAACCATTTATGCACACACCAGACTCATTTTAGGCAATGTAGGTGAAGTGTCTTGGCTAAGGACACAAAGACAGTTTGGCACATTAGAGCCTCAGCCGCCCCCCAGTGTGGTACTTGGTGTTCCTAGAGGTCCCCCATCACAGTATTAACCAGGCCTTGTTCTGCTTAGCAGCAGAGGTCTGACGGGATCTGACATTCACATGCCTGTTAACTGCATGTGAAAGCAAGTATGCTGCAAACTTACTTTTGCTTGTCTCCACATAAAGAGGCTTGTAACAGTACACACGTATAATGCTGTGAACCATATTAGACCTTTTAGAAATGTTGAATACTTGTAAGAAAGAGCCCATTGAGTCACTATTGGACACTTTGGGCTGAGATCTGATTTGCTGAGGGTGGTCCTCTCTTTGCCGCTTTTCTGCCTGAAAAAGTAGATCTAAGGATGTGGGAGGCCAACAATTCATTCATGTTTCACTAATGATAGAACCAATCTGTTTTGAGAGAGAAGAACTTGTTCAAACTTGTTTCAGCTATTATGGGTTGAAAGGTTAGTACCACAGCTTTAAACAAATGGTATTCAATTCCATCCATTCCATGTTCTGGTAATTTATTATACATAAATATTATTTAGCTGATGTTATTGACTATTATTGAGAACCTTAAAGTAGTACTAGAATTTAATATGCTGCTATCCAGAATATATAACTACAATATGTGTTTATAATATTTCGGGTGTTCATTTTGACATGTTCAGATGAATTATGTTAAAAAAACGGCTTTGAAGTGGCACGTTATAACAAACGCTAGGGGGAGCCAAAATGGCGGCGATGACGTAGGAGAATGACCTCTCACAGCAGCAGCAGCAGTCTAGGCTGGAAACTGTAGGAGGTTTCACTGTCATCTGAACAAGGTATAAACATATTTTCATCCGTTTTGTACATAATAGTGTGCAACTCTTTTAACCTTTTAGCCTTATTTGTGAGATTCAAGCTAATTGTTGGGCAAGTTAGCTAACTCTACTTGATATCATAAAACATGCTAACAAGGCTAATATTCATTTTCACATTATGCCAGTCTCACTTTGGTTGCCTTAGATTTATTTACCACAATGTACATTGTAATATTCAAAAATGCTAATCAAAATAACTTGAATTAAATAAATATTATACTTTTATGAACAAAAAGCTGCAGAAGTTGAAAACATAGACTACATGTGATGCAATCATTGATAAAAATGTTAATTAAACCGTTAATAGGTGTTAGCATTTTTGAATATTACAATGTACATTGTGGTAAATAAATCTAAGGAAACCACAGTGAGACTGGCATAACGTAAAAACGAATATTAGCCTTGTTAGCATGTTTTATTATATCAAGTAGAGTTAGCTAACTTGCCCAATAATTAGCTTGAATCTCACAAATAAGGCTAAAAGGTTAAAAGAGCTGCACACTATTATCTAGTGATGGCAATATGAAGCCCCATGAAGCCTTGAGGGATAGCAGCCTATTACTCGGCCCATAAGTCGAAGGCTCGAGGTGAATCATGCTCCACTACGCCATCATGTGGACAAAGAAATACATAACACTCAAGTGCTTACAATGAATGGTGAGATCTAATGTTAAAATGTATATTTACAATCTATGGTCTAACGTGTTGTGTTTGAAATGATGCTTCATGAACTATGAACTATTTGAGTTTTTCAGTCAATTGTGTTGATACAACAAACACATCCAAAGTAATACAGTTCTACAGAAAGTGATGAAGAGGAAAAACTACCAAGTGGTGGATTAATTAAACACAACAAACTATTTATTCCCAATAAATAAATACATTTACTTTGCAACACAAAATTTATTATAGGTAGACCAGGATTAGAACGCTATATCTTCTGCTTCGGAGTCCGTCATATACCGACTGCGCCACCGCTGTTGTGAAATGTATCATCCAGCGTATTATTACTAATAACTTGAAGCCTTGATATATGAGGTTTTACTGAAGTGAAACGTTTTTAATTGTATTTCATATGAAGTAGTTTCTCTATACTTAGTACAGGACTGCTCCACATCACGCACACACACACGTACGCACACACACGTACGCACACAGAGGCAGACGGGGACAGCCAATACAGTCTATGGTACAGCTGCGGATCACAAAGCACCTGTCAAAGCAATGCACTCTCCGAACTATATGAAGCACTATATGAACCGTCACGTGGTGCGGGCGCTACGCGAGGTTTCGAACGTCACCACATACGTCACCAACACACGCCTCGAACCACGCTTCAAAAAATATGCCCCTTTTTTACTCGGTACACGCTTCGAAGACCCGGCACGCTCAGCACATCACTACTATTATGTACAAAACGGATGAAAATATGTTTATACCTTGTTCAGATGACAGTGAAACCTCCTACAGTTCCCAGCTAAGACTGCTGCTGCTGCTGTGAGATACCCTTCTACGTCATCGCCGACATTTTGGCGCCCCCTAGCGTTTCTATGCGGAAGTGAAAAGGTCCGACTTCAAAGCCGTTTTTTTAACATAATTCATCTGAATATGTCAAAATGAACACCCGAAATATTATAAACACATATTGTAGTTATATATTCTGGATAGCAGCATATTAAATTCTAGTACTACTTAAACCATATAACAGTCAGTTTTTAATTGTATGTATTTTTGTGTCCTCTCTCCAGCGTGTGGGTTGCCAGTTTGTGATGACTTTTAATCCTCAAAAAAACAAACACGAGTTGAAGAACCGGACCTGTAAGAAGCTCGCCAAGCCCAAAGCCTGAGTCTGTATCCCTTTGTCATCATCCTCATGTATGTTGTGTTTCGGCCTCATCACCAGTGATTGTGTTGGATGGAGTTGTTTTCCTCAATAAAATACTTTTTCAAAATAATTTATTTCATGGTATTTTGTTTCAGGGGCAACAAAGTGACAGAGTGGTTAAGAAGGTCAATCAACATAATAATAATAATTATACTAAATTAACACAAATAACAACTAATTGTGATTTGGAGAATATACCCCAAGAAAGAACAATTAATTTGGCTTTGTTTAGCGATTTTACTTTTTGTGGAAGATCCAGACGCCAGAAACCATTAAGCTACAATGTGTTCAAGAATTGAATCTGTGGTGCCTCCTTTCAAGCCACTAAAAATAACTTGAGTAAATGCAAAAATAACTAACTGCCTGTTTGGTTCTATTATTAGCTTTCACATAAAAACGCTGGCTTTTTGCCTCTACCACATTTTTAGATCAGCTATTTAAGACAGAAAAGTGAACTCAGCCCACAGCTTAAAACTCACAAGTCTTTTTTCTTACAAATATGAAAAATACAATGTTTCCTGGTAATGAAATAAATGACTTTTTGTTGGAACAAACATATGTGATGCGATCTGGGAAAATCCATCTCATGGTGAAATTTGACCAACTTAAGATTCTGACACCATCTTAAAGCTGCTTTCAATCTCTTTTCAAATCTCTTTTCCTTTTTTTTCATAGCATGTCTGTAACAAAAGTTATCATTATCTAAAGTTGGCGTATTAGCATGGTTTTATGAAACAGAATTCTGAGAAAAACAGGTTAAAAGAGACATTCTAAATAGAATCACCACAATCAAATATATAGTTATGTGAAATACTCTAGCATGGAACACTTATTTTAGTCACTATGTTGTAAAAGATAAACATTTTTTTTGCTTTGTCACCAACTAAACACACAATTGAAAATCAAGAATGTATTTATTCTTTCAATAATCAATGATTTGAATTTGTTTGACGTAACTTTTCCTTCTGTGACAAACCGAGGGTTCGTAACGCATGTTTTACATTAAAATAATAAAACAAACTTTAAGGACACAGATAAGGGGATTGAGTGAGGACACAAGGTTCCATTTAAGCACATATTTTATTCAAGTTTAGCTTCTTTTGTACTTTGAGTTGTAAAAGCAGTTGTAAAACAGAATTCAACAACTTATTCTTTATGTAGACAACATGTAAAGACAGCTTAAAAAAAGACAGCGGTGGTTGTGCTGCGCCGTGCGCCCGGTTCACTCAGGCAGTTCCTAAAAACGAAGTTATTACATTTTGAAATACATACTGTATATACACAGCTAAATAGCGAGTAGGGCCAGTGCAACAGACATACCAACTTCAGGTAGGACATTCTCTCAGGAGTTCTCACTGGGGTAGGGAACTCTATTTTAACTTTATTTTAATTTTAATTTTAAATGTATTCCTTAGAAGTGTTTTTTATTCTTTATTTTTTTATTCTCTCTCTGACTGTTGCACTGAGCCAAAGCAATTTCCAAGTCTGTGACCTCCTGTTACTTACGTGGCAATAAAAATGATTCTGATTCTGATTCTGAATGACTCCCAGCTTCAGAGGACCACCGGGGACCACACACACCCGGTCTACAATGAAGCACCACCAGCTGCGCGTTGAAAGCGCCATCAGCTACCTAAGCAACATGTCTGATGAGGACCAACCTACACAACTATAATATCTACATTTTTTAAATTACTATACCTGCTACGCGGCGACAAACACACAAGCCGAGCGACCAGCACTCGGAAGTACAGACGGCAAGCGGGACAACGTCAATATTCTGCAGGGTTTTATAGTGTGGCGTCTGGCGGGCAGAAAAACTGTTCACACTACTACACTTTCTTCCTTTTTGTGTCTTTCTCTTTATAAGTTACTGAACATTATATATGTATTAGACAACGCCAGTATTATTCTATCAAATCACGCAGTATAAATATCCACGCAAAACCACCAAGCATTTTTAAAGCTGGGACAAAATCAGGTACCCGAGCTTTAATTTTGTGAGTTTTGGTTGCGCATAGGAGACACAGGGGAGACCTGGACTTGCAACTAGCTGGGGATTGTCCTGAACGCTGTTCTGTCTATGGTCCTTTCCAAGTGTCTGATCTGCGTGTCCCGCGTGTCTATGGGTTCTGTTCGCGTGTCTATGGTCCTGTTCCCGTGTCTATGGGTTCTGTTCGCGTGTCTATGGTCCTGTCTATGGTTCTGTTCGCGTGTCTATGGTCCTGTCTATGGTCCTGTTTCCGTGTCTATGGTCCTGTCTATGGTTCTGTTCGCGTGTCTATGGTCCTGTCTATGGTTCTGTTCGCGTGTCTATGGTCCTGTCTATGGTCCTGTTTCCGTGTCTATGGTCCTGTCTATGGTTCTGTTCGCGTGTCTATGATCCTGTCTATGGTTCTGTTCGCGTGTCTATGATCCTGTCTATGATCCTGTCTATGGTCCTGTTCCCGTGTCTATGGGTTCTGTTCGCGTGTCTATGGTCCTGTCTATGGTCCTGTTTCCGTGTCTATGATCCTGTCTATGATCCTGTCTATGGTCCTGTCTATGGTCCTGTTTCCGTGTCTATGGTCCTGTCTATGGTCCTGTTCCCGTGTCTATGATCCTGTCTATGGTCCTGTCTATGGTCCTGTTTCCGTGTCTATGGTCCTGTCTATGGTTCTGTTCCCGTGTCTATGATCCTGTCTATGGTCCGCGCTCGGAGCCCCGACGGCAGTGCGTTCACTGAGCTGTCACAAAGCGGCCGCAGCTGCTCCCGGGGTCCGAGCAGGGGGTGTAACGTAACGTTCGGTTTATCAAACATTTTATAAATGTTTAAAACTACTGAATTTTACCTAGATATTTTCAGAAACGAAAGACAAGATGTTACATAATAATTATTTAATGTAACACAATTTTGCCTAAAAAATGACAATCGATCTATTTTTACTATGCCCCTTCAGGGGCTCCGTACCAGCGCGACATCCGACGGGTTTTCTCAGATCGCATATATGTGGTAGGAGTAGTTCTTGTCCAGGTCAATCTAATTCAAAGTGTAAAATAATTGGGACAACATTATGATTGGTTATTTCCCATACTTTGTAAGATATAGGCTCATTATGACATACATTTTTTCTTAGTGGCAGTTTTTTCCCCAGTGGCTGCATGAGTAGTCAGCATGATCTCTACAATTCTATGGATCACTGGTTTGGAAGGTTTTCTCCCCTGCACCAGAAAACCTACAGAACAATGGATCCTGGAGCTCTGCAGACACAACCATGAACAAGCGTTAAGGCTCCGTGATGCACACACAAAGTCTAATAAAGCACTATTAGTAAAATGATTTGAAGAATCATGGGTCTTGCTTGAGGGACGTTTTTACAGTGTATGTATCAATAATCATCACTGTGAAAAATACTCCAGAGCCCTGACTGCTAACATAATGGATACAGGTGAATATTATTGGGCCGAGCCCATGGATCTATTATAAAAGGGGAACCTAATGATGGTGGAGGAACTCAAAACTGTGAAGAGATGGACAGTGATGGAGGTGGTATCATGATCAATGTTTATATGAAAGCAGTTGTTTTATCTGTTACAACGGTGAGGAAACAGTTTTTACTTTAAACACACATTAAACAAAACAATCTTATGTATTAATAACTTTTATATTACTACTATTGATCTTATTAATAAACATTTCATATCATTACCTGTAAAGTGTGAGTTGGGGCACAGGGGTCAAAGTGAGTCAAATCGATTTAGTGATTTCAAAATTTATTTTCATTTTACCTTGTTAATACAATGTTTTGTCACTCAATTGTCAATCATTCTGGTGATACGTGTTTGTCAAATAAGACCAGAGAGTTTTGTTGAAAAAGTGGAGAGGGCGGTTTGTTCGTAAAATTCGGAAAAATCCTCCTATATACATTTAATAGAGCCAAAATTATGTTTGATATATGTATAGAGACGATAAATCTACTTCAATAATTTATGTTTTACTTATTGTATGATTATTTTACTATAGTAATGCACTTTGATTTATCTTGTGTATAAAATGTTCTATCCAAATAAAATTGTATTACCTGTAGATCATTATTATCACACATGAGTATTGTTGTACAAGATGTTTATCATTGTCTCCACAGAATTTTCCACTTCAGCCAAACGCAAACTTTGCATTTTGATATTTGCTAAAACAAAATGAAGCGTTATTCCAGCTCGATCCACAATGTTTCATTTTTCCACTGTACATAGGAGTAATTGTTAAGTAATTGTTGTCCAGGTAAATGTATTTCAAATGATAAAGTAATTAGGACAGCATTATCATCTTTTGTGATATAGGGGCATTGATAAACTGCAGACCAACAGAGCAACTGTTGCACAGAAAGTGACCAAGTGCAGAGATTGTCACAGTTTGGTTTCACATGAAAAGTGAGTTTATGGAAGTGTGTGACTTTTTGCTCTACTTCCTGGAATGAGTCGTAAAACATCCTTGAAATTAGGTTATGTCTCAGGTTAATCTTATTTACTCAATTAACCTCCGGCCGAGACTGCCGCAAAGTATCACTTGATTTGAGTTACTATGGTAACAAGGAGAATTTGAATTTGGATTACAATTAACTTAACTCAATTAGCTATATGTTTTGAATTGTTAAGTTAACTCGGTCAGTGGGACAGTAACTTCCTTAAAAGTCAAGTAAAGGTAGAGAGACATGTATTTGTTTGACAGGAACAGGAACATTCATAAACATTACAGTAAATGCATTAGAATTATTCACAAGACTAATTTTCCTAAAGGTAAAGGTGCACACATTGATCCCTGTAGGGCAATTCAATCCTCTGCATTTGATCCTGATGCCGCTAAGGCTTACATCAGGAGCAGTGGTCGCCATAGTACATAGTACAGCGCCCAGGAACCAGTGGAGGCGGGTCCTGGCTCAAAAGTGGCCAAAATGATGTGCGCTGACATGCTTGCAATACCACCCCAGGCCGATGGGGGTGGACCCGGAATAAGAATTAGCCAATGCTAACATATAGCATCTTCTTACCTCTCGAAAATACCTTTACAGGATGGTCCAAAAGTTGGCTCTTGGCCCAGAGCTCCCTTCCACATGTGTGTCAATGCTGAGGGGAGTGAATTTTTTTGTACCACTCTAGTTTACTCGCTGTGAATTTTTGAAGTCACTCGTTTAAATGAATGGGGCTCGTGTCGGCAGATGCATGCGCAGATGCGTTTTTTTACATTTTCCAGCCCCCCATTTGGAATCACTCCATGAAAGCCCAATTTTTGGCCCATTAGTTAGAACGGCAGAGATAGGCGTGACTATGTCCGTTAATATATACAGTCTATGCCAGGAATTATTCCAGATGTTGATGCTCAACTTGGTCAGGACTACCGGAGCTGGAGGATTTAACCTAGTGTGCATGTTTTTAGTGGTAGGGGAAACCGGAGTACCCGGAGTACCCGGAGTACCCGGAGGAAACCTACGCAAGCATGGGGAGAACATGCAAACTCCACTCAGAAAGACCCCGTTCCGACCAGGATTCAAACCCAGGGCCTTCTTGGTGAGTGGCGAGAGAGCTATCCACTCATCCACCGTGCCACCGACTGATGTTGAAAACCTCCCTCCACACTGAGGTCTGCACACCTCTCTGTTTACAGATGTTTTGTGCAGAGACTTTCTCTAATACAGACCTCCTTCACAAATGTCTCCAAGTCCACATCAGTCATAATGAGAGGACGGACCTGGTTGGGAATTTAGTTTGGGACTTCTAGTTAAAGCAAATACTAAAAACAATAATTAATTCAGTACGTGTTAAATATATACTTTCTTGAAACATTATATAGCATGTGATAGTCAGTTATGAATATGAAAATGATTCCAGGAACAGATGCAAAAACATTGTATCCGTGTCGCACCTAATTTGTTTTGGAGTTGTGTTCAGGTGTTTCCAGAGAATTCTCTGTAATACAAGTGTATCCAACACGCAGGGGGCAGAGAGAGCAGACTTTAACTAAAGACGAGTGATCTGCCTCACTAGTTCAAACCTGGTTCCGCCCTGGTTTAGTACTGGTTCAGTCCTGGTTCAGTTCTGGTTCAGTCTGGGTTTTGTTCTGGTTATGTCCTGGTTTTGCCCTGACACTGAAGACTTTTTTTCTTTTCAGATGAAGACGGAGCAGACGTTGCTGCTCTCCGTGCTGCTGAGTGAGTTTTAGTTGCTCTTCATTATATTCATCAACTCCACATGTATCTTAGTGCTGTCAAACAAATAAAATAATTTATTGCGGTTAATCACATTAATGTCATTGTTAACTTACGATTAATCACATATTTTTCAAACATTTTACTTGACAAGTCTAATCTTCTAAATCTAAACTGTCTTAATCCCATCATTTGAACTCCTGAAGATATGTTTAGTTTGTGTTTTCTCCCTGTAGGTCAGCTGTGTTGGTCAGTGTCTCTGGACCTTCAATACCACTTTATAGATAAGAAGATGTCGTGGTCTGAGGCTCAGAGTCACTGCAGAGAGTTCTACACAGACCTGACCTCAGTGAACGACGAGAAGGACCTGAAGAACCTGAAGGCTGCTTCAAACGGACGCACGGACGCCTGGATCGGACACCTGGATTCTGACTGTGGGCTGAGACCAGTGCCATTTCCTGTCTGTGAGGTTGTCACTGGTCTCAGCCCACAGTCAGATACAAGGAAGGGGACACTGCATGGCAATCAGGGCAACCTGATGATTCTACAGGACCTCAGAACATTGGGGCGATGAACAGTTTTTGTCGCTGGCATGATTATTCCAATTCTCATAAATTCAGTTGTAGTATCTGCTACAACGGTGAGGACACCACACTTGAAACACACGTTGAACAAAGCATCCTATACGTTAATTGTATTTGTTCTTGGCCTTTTTTTAATGAACCGTTCTACAGTAAAATGAAGCAGGTAGCACAGGAGTCACAGCTCTAGTTACACTGGAAATTGGGATTTTAGGATGAAATATAATGATTTTTATCTTTTTATAACAGTGTTTCCGTCTCATGAGGTACTGTGTGGATTAGAAAATTCTGTGAGGAGAACCTTTATGTTTCCCTAAACACGCACTTTGAATTATTCTAGAAATCTGACTTCCTTTAAGTTACAATTAAATGCAACAATGATGAGACAAGTTTACAGTTATTTTGTTTTGAAAAGGAATTTATTTAACCCATTTCTATTTGGATAGTTAATTACAAGATAACCAAAGAGTGTAACATTTATCCATGGACCTCAACATCATCAGTCCTTAATAAAGATGAATAGAATAATCATGTCTTCTCTGGTTCCACAGATTCCTCCAGAACTACTGTAGTAATCTCTAAAACAATAACCTGGTTAGAGGCTCAGCAGTTCTGTAGAACTTACCACACTGACCTGATGAGTGGACTGGACCAGCAGAAACTGTATGAGAAAAAGTACCCAATGCATAATTCCACATGTTGGATCGGTCTGTTCCGGGACACCTGGAGCTGGTCCGACAGAAGCAACTCCTCTTTCAGAAACTGGTACTCACACGCATCGATAAATCCACTGACAAAGAAATGTGCAGCAATGGGAGCCGAGGCCCTATGGTCGAGCGTCAACTGTGGACTAAAGAAAAGCTTCATCTGTGAAGGAGGTAAGAGAACAAGCAACAACAATTCAAGTCATGGGAGAAAGAACATGTTTTAGTTCACTTGATTTAAGTCGGTTTGAAAACACAATATGGATGATACAGTCTTATTCTTGGCATATTTTACAGACAAACTTTTATTTTTACGGTTTACAATTACTTGTGATTTTATCCTGTTTTTAATAATTTCTTGTGTTTTTTATGTATGTGTAGATTTGTGTTGCCTTATGTAGGAAAGGGGCTATACAAATAAAAGTTGATTGATTGATATTTTTCAGCTCCGAAGAGAAAAAAAAAGACTTTGGTGAAAATAAAAATGTCCTCACCAGTGGATCTCAACAAATTCAGCCCCATAATATTGCAACAGGTTTGTGTAGTTAAGACTTTGAATATTTTCTGAAACGTGACAACATTAAAACAGGAGAATTCAGAATCATCGCAACACAAAGTGCCTCACAACCCATATCACATGCATAAATAATCAAACATTAGAAACCTCATATACATTTTTAAAAAACACATTAAGAGCACAAGATATATTAAAAACATAAAAAATAAATTCACACAAGTAGTTAAAAACCTTAAAACATTAAAATCACACATGGGATTAAAATCATAAATAGTCATAGTGCATTAAAAAGATTAAAGATAAATACAAAGATAAAATCATACACTTGTATGGACAGCTAAACAGAACTGTTTTCAGCCTAGATTTGAAAACTGCCAGAGTAGACGCCTGTCTCACATTCTCAGGAAGACGGTTCCAGACTTTAGCTGCATGTATCTGCAGCATCCCCATGTTTAGTTCCGACTTTTGGCACCAGCAGAAGTCACCAACATGTCGCGGATGTACCCCGGTGCAAGGCCATGGAGAGACATGTACACAAGCAGAGCTGTTTTAAAGTCTGTTCTCTGAGCCACAGAAAGCCAGTGCAGAGACCTGAGAACTGGACTAATGTGGTCGTACTTCCTGGTTCTAGTCAGGTCTCGAGCTGAATGTACTGCAGCTGTTTTACAGCTCCGATCTCCACAAAATAGTTTCCGTCTTGTAAATAGGACCTAAACCAACTTAGGGCGGTGCCAGCAACACCAACCCAGTCCTCTTGTCTCTGAATGAGGATACCATGATCGACAGTGTCGAAAGCAGCACTTAAATCTAACAGGATTAGGACTGAGACTTTTCCTGCTTCAGTGTTAAGTTTGATGTCATTTGTTACCTTAAATAGATCTCAGTGCTGTGGTGGGATCTAAAGCCAGACTGGAACATACAGTATCAAATGAGTTGTTGATTATAAAACATTCTGTAAGTTGTTGATTAGAGGTGCAACGGTCACTGGAATCACTGATCCGTGATCCGTTCGGTTCAACGTCTTCTGTTCGGTACAGACGTGATCCGCGTTTGATTTTTTTTAAAAAGTCCCACTATGTTGTTCAGTCCACAGCGCCGTCATTGTGAGCGAAGGAACAGAGAAGCCCGCGTCATTTAAATCCCCAGTATGAGAGCATTTTGGCTTCACTGTAACTATACTGATGATTAAAGAGTCGACAAAACTGTCACGATGTGTAAGCACTGTGGCGCAAGAAAGACATGAGTGAAAAAAAAGCTTTGCAACAACCGCTTATTGCCGCGGCATTTAAGCAGCCCCTTTATACACAGTCAGACCAGGCTAAAGTCAACTCTCCCGCTCATCCTCAGCTGCGCTCACGACTGACGCTTGGACGTCCCGCGGAACCTATAATGGATCCATAAGCGGAACGGACAGCTATGCTTTGATAGCCGCTCACTTCATCACAGCAGACTGGGAGATGAGAAGTCCGGTGCTGCAGACACGCCCCCTGTACCAAAGCCACACAGGCACACAGCACAGATACTGACACAAGCAGTGGAGGAATGGACGACAAAGGCCCAGTACTAATATCCCAGTCACAACTGATAATACTAAAAATTAAATAAATGCAGTGAATGACGCTGGACCGGGCCCAGAATGGACCGCCTCCTTGAGAGAATCAGGAAGGTGGTTCAATATATGAGGGTAAATACCCTATGTGTTAATTATGTTAAAAAGACATAATTGGATGGATGGATGGAATATGCCTTCCAACCATCCATCCATTGCCTTCCCCTTAATCCATTTCCAGGCTAGGGGGGTGGCAGTCAGAGCTGCACCCAGTACACAGAGCACCAGCCCCTTACTGATGCTCCTGAAGGTACTGAGTCCACATAAGCCGTTATTAAAAAGACAAAACCTTTTTTTTTGAAAAATGAACCAAAAAATGAACCGAACCGTGGCCTCTGAACCGAGACACGATCCGAACCGTGATTTTTTTCAAACCGTTGCACCCCTATTGTTGATAGACAACTTTTTCTATAATTTTTCCCATGAAAGGCAGATTTGAAATGGGCTGATAACTTTTAAGTGCCAGGGCATCCAGACTCCTCTTTTTTAAGAGGGACCTGATGACTGCCGTTTTCAGGGCCATTGGGAATGTTCCAGATTCAAGAGACATATTAACTATTTGAGTAAGTGAAGGTAAAAGACTGCTCAGAACTGACTTGAGAAATCTAGGAGGTAATACATCCAGGCTGCATGTAGAAGAACTCAGACTTGTGATTATCTCTTGGTCAGTTTCATTTTGTACTGGTGTAAAGTATGTCAGCCCAAAAAGCCTTACTGGCTGTTGGATTGTTATTTCTACTGTGGAGGTGATGGCGTTTTTGAAGCCTTGGACTTTGTCATTAAAAAACTGCAAACTCATTACATTTGGATTTTGAGGTAAGTTCTGATGGCATCTTAACCGGGGGATTTGTCAATCTATTCACTGTTGAAAACAGAACACGTAGATTGTTACTACATCCTTCAATAGTTTTAGAAAAATAAGTTTCCCTCGTTCTATGTAGCACCCGGTTAAACTTGAACAACGCATCTTTGAAGATCTCATGGTCAACTTGAAGATTTGACTTTTGCCACTTCCGCTCGGCCCTAGGCTCCAGCACTCTCTCTTCTGTGCCCTGACCGAGTCTTCTTTAGTCCATGGCGCCTTTTGCTTATTTGTAGCCATTTTAACCTTTACAGGAGCTGTTAGGATTTAAGCAGACAGAGACGGATCGTGGTGTGCCAAACTCTGGAAGTTTATTTAAGTTTCTCTCAAGTTCCACTGTTTTACTCTGTTTCTTTCTCTCAGACAGAATAAAGGCAGTACACAGTTTATATAGTCATTGTCACGTCACACATCGAAAGACATACGTGTCACAAAGAGACAGTCAAATCATAGTCATAACATGGAGTCCTTGTAGAGTCCTTGTACAGTCCTGCACGTAGGCCATATTGCTATCTAATACTATCACTCTCCCCTTTGATCACATAATCACATGTGATCACTCAAATCGATCAATCAATAAAGTGGAAAAAGAAAAAAAAAAAAAAAAAAAAAATCCTAAAAAAAAACTTAAAAAAAAAAAAATATATATTAAAAACATCGAAAATGTATGCATTAAACTCATAATCATCAAATCAATATCAGTGGATTTTATCCTCTATCCTGGGAAAAAAACAAACAAACAAAAATAAAGTAAATAAACAAACAAAAAACAAATCAAAAATAAAAACAAACAAAAATAAAAACAAACAAACACTATTGGACACACAAGAACTCAGCAGATTCAGTCAAAACACAGACAAAAACGAGCTGAGTCTCAAATTTGAAGCTAATTTCACTTTTATTACTCTACTTTTATTCTAATGCTAATTGTTTACACTTCACTTATTTCACTGTATTATTTTCACTTATCAATCTTATACTGTGTACTTTACTTTTACTATCACTATAGTTTAAAACTATTCTAATCTATTCACAAATATGTTTGCATATTTGCTTCTATTGAGCCATATTCTTAAACATACATTTTAATCTAATAAATCTCTCTTTAGTTTTACACTCTCATTATCAGTGGCATATTATCAGTGGGATTTTGCTCCATGTCTACTCTCATTCTCAGGAATAAAACTGTGAACACAGTAAGGCAAACGGTCAACATTTACACTTCTATAGTGGTCAGTGATTTATTACTTTTTATTATCTAAAGATATTATTGTCAGGCAGTTTGGGATGAATGAACATCA